GTATATATTGCTCAATCCGTGTGATCTAAATCAATACGAATCTCGCATGCAGGTCACGTGATCACACCAATAAGTATAACTATGACACTAGCCGTTATGTATAACTATGACGCTCGTCGTTACATATTACCATGAACCCGTGAAGACCCGGGGTAGATTAGGTCTTCAGCGACCCATGCTTGTCGTGAAAAGCGACTATGCTTGTCGTAAGAAGCGACTAACGGGATCGGGTGGTCAGGCTCGCTGACTTGGTTGATGTATGTCATCGATCCCAATTGCGTGGATCGATGCTCATAATATCAATCACTGGATTGTCTGGTCCAGACGCGATTATTTACAGACCGCCGTCATATGGTTGGAGTACGGCGTTAAACAGCAAACCAACCAACCAACCAACCAACCAATATATTACCATGACACTAGCCGTAACGTATAACTTTGGCGCTCGTGGTTACATATTACCATGACACTGTTCATTACGTATAAATATGACACTATTCTTTACGTATAAATATGACACAACACTTTACTCATGACTATGAGGCTAGCCGTGGTGTATAACTACCACTCTCGTCGTTACTTATAACTATGAGGCTAGTCAAGTATAACTATGAGACTAGTAGTTACGTATAACTATGCCGATTGTTACCAATAACTATGAGACTAGTCATAACGTATACCCATGAGACTAGTTAAGTGTAATTATGACACTAACCGTAACGTATAACTATGGCACTAGCCGTTACTGAGTCAGTAGTTCAAAGAACTACCAGCAACTGACCCTAACTCCAGCCAACAGCGGGGGCTAACATAGCCACACCACCGTATCCACTTAGCTTAGATATGTGCATCCAGTTTATGTCATCGTGTACAGAATCCTCGTACGAAAATATAAATAGATAGATAGATACCGCACGAAATGTATGTCAGTTTTGATTCAAATGAATGACAGCAGTGTCGAGAGATTTGATGTACCGTGACGCCATGTGTGCATTGTGCATGGCCAGACGTTTTGGTAGATTCAACAACACCGTCACATGTTCACGAAGAAAACGATTCACTTCCAAGTCCGAGACTTGGAATTAACACTTATTTACAACCGACGGGCACATGTAGTGTGCTGACAAACCAGAAATCATACCCAGGGCACATCTGGCATTCGAGCTTATGATCATGATCATCGGACTCCAAGGGACGTAACTCCGCCAAGTTAATTGCGGCGCCCATTTAAACAACCAAGCCACACGTTACCACAGCGAGTGTATAGATATCATGCATTTGTTGGAGCATCTCCTGAGAGAAAAGTTGGCGTGAATAGCCGCCATGTTTTGACTCCTAATGAAGGATGAGAGTGGCCAAGTAGTTTTTATCATCCAAAACTGGCTCCCACAGGAGATATCGCTTGGATGAGATCAAGCGATATCTACACTGTAGATATTGCTGCAATGAAATTACATCACAATGCTTTGCAGACCATTGTGACATCACTGGTTACCATGACGTCACAATCAAATGACATCACTAATGGCCCTGCTACTGAAGCTGTTTGCAATACTTTTTACCCTGAAGACACTGTTAATTACTGTCTACAAATTGAAAAAGTTGAAAGAATGATGTTGGATGATAAATAAAATCTCACCCTCGTGTCTTTTGATATCAAATATATCAACACTCGTTGATTAAAGTGGCAAAAATCCTCGGCAAGCCTCGGAATTTTTCCACTTTTATCAACTCGTGTTGATATATTTGATATCAAAAGACACTCGGGTGAGATTCTCTATATAGCGCCGTGGTTTGCTTTTCTTAATTTCGCCCTCGACGTACCTAAATGAAACACTCGTCGTGATGTCCGATACAATTCCAAATTTTGAATTGTACCATATGTTCGGATTTCGGTTGAAAAACTGACTTGCCTTAGGTTTAGATGTGTCAAAAGTCAAAGTCAAATTAGTTTATTTGTGTGTAGGCCTTAGGCCGATATACAAGAAATGCAGTGACATTAATACAATGTGAAGCACATTACATAGATTTTACGACTTCATTTCTTTGTTTATACGCATAATATACATAATATTGCAGACGTTTTAATAACTCATCCTGAACTGTACAAAATAAGTTTTTGAATTTATTTATCATCCAAAATTGGCTCCCACAGGAGATATCGCTTGGATTGGATCAAGCGATATCTACACTGTAGAATATCGCTGCAATGAAATTACATCACAATGCTTTGCAGACCATTGTGACGTCACTGGTTACCATGACGTCACAATCAAATGACATCACTAATGGCCCTGCTACTGAAGCTGTTAGCAGTACTTTTTACACTGAAGACACTGCTAATTACTGTCTACAAATTGAAAAAGTTGGAAGAATGATGTTGGATGATAAATAAAATCGCACCTTCGTGTCTTTAGATATCAAATATATTAACTCTCGTTGATAAAAGTGGAAAGAATCCTCGGCAAGCCTCGGAATTATTCCACTTTTATCAACTCGTGTTGATATATTTGATATTAAAAGACACTCGGGTGATATTCTCTATATATCGTTGGAAACTTCCAATACATTTCTGGCAAACAAACTTTACGCAGCTCAGTATAATGTTAACAGATCAATACGAAATGATATTCATCTTCAACAGACATATTGCAAACAGGACACATGCGTAAACATGATTCAATAGATTGCCATCTACCCTCGTCCTGTCGTAAAGGTAAAACGTTACATCTTAATTAATAAAAAACACTGCGTACATATTTGCCATTGTAGATGCTCAAATATCTTTCAGGTTCAAACAGTGTTTTATATTCTTTATACATCATATATCGGGTACTACTGTTGAGTGTTGACATCCAGTTTTGCCAATAGTGGGACCCGATACGCTCACCTTGTCTCGAACACCTGGTATCATCGCTAATTGATACTGCTCCATAAACACATGTCGTACAATCGACTCTGCTTTTGGAAGAGATTTCTTATGATTATGGAAAGGTGTTTTTTTCACTTTTATTTACGTTTTCACAGACCGGCTGTTATCACTGATTTTCAGTGATCCATTCATATAATTTTCTCCGCTATTTTTTCTTTTCCCAGTGGAGTCTGTTTTGACGAGAATGGTTCTTCTCTGGCGTTGATCTCTTGTATTCATTACAAGGTTTAGTGACCTCGTGTAAGTCTATATCTCAAGGACGCATTTCTGTTGATATAAGCTGGCCTCCATTCAAACTTATGCGTGAATGCTGAACCTTATTTATGAGAACACGTGTTCTGTGGATGCCTGGGTGCTAAGTGCGTTAAACGTTTGCACGATATCGTTTATCACTAAATCGATGCACTATCGATATTTCATTTTGCCGTGATGCGTTCGCAAAACTTTGTCTTGATTATGGATAATATGACATTTTTCATATTCGAATAGGGTCATAAAACATTAAACGAGCAACGAAAAATAACTAGTCTCGATTATCCGCCGAAACAGATTTCATTTTGCTTAATTAAGGAGTGTTTTAGTCTTGTGCATAGGATATACCTACACTCAATAGCAGGTAAGACTATTTGCTCTTCTGGGGAGTGGACTTTTTTGGAAAAAGATATTTTGTTTTTTGGGGGGGATGTTTGTTTTTATTTTATTTCTCAATAAGCGAGGCTAAATGCGTGTTTGGTGAGTCTCTAACAAAATGCCCAGCCCCCAGTAATCAACCCAATACTGAATCGAAAATATAGCTATAGGTTCTTTATCCCATATTGGGGGCGGTCGGGTAGCCTAGTGGTTAAAGCGTTCGCTCGTCACGCCGAAGACCCGGGTTCAATTCCCGACATGGGTACAATGTGTGAAGCCCATTTCTGGTGTCCCCCGCCGTGATATTGCTGGAATATTGCTAAAAGCGGCGTAAAACCCCACTCACTCACTCACTCATTATCTCATATGGGTACAATGTGCTTATTATTTCAGGGACGCAACTCTACAAAACGTATTCCAGCGCCATGGGCGACTGGCAATCCTTGCCCCCCAAAATGACGTGAACGTGAAACGGCTAACTCAGTAATGAATAAACATTCAAACTGTAACCAACAGATGATGGGGATAGTTGTGTTTGTTTGTTTGGTTGTTTTTTAAATGCCACACTACGCAATATTCCAGCTATATGACGGCGGTCTGAAAATACTCGAGTCTGGACCAGACAATCCAGTGATTGATATCATGAACATCGATCCACGCAATTTGGATATGATGACATGCATCATCCAAGTCATCGAGCCTGACCACCCGGGCCCGTTACTCGCGTCTTACGACAAGCATAGTCACCTTTTACGGCAACCATGGATTGCTGAAGACCTTTTCTACCCCGGATCTTCACGGGTCGGGGAAAGTTTGTCGGAACAAGTACAGTTCTTGTTTTGAGAATAGCTACCTCCATGTTCCCCATAAGGTTATAGATGGTCCAAGTAGTGCAGCTGGCGTATGTGTTATCCGCCAACAAGGTTGCAGCTGAAGGCTTAACAATGCCCAATTATAGTTCCACGTGTGCATCCAGCTTTAGGACACTCGGGTAGCCTAGTAGCTAAAGTGCACTCTCGTCACGAAAAAAAGCCCGGGTTCGAATCCCCACTTGGGTGCACAATGTGAAGCCTATTTCTAGTGTCGCCCGCCGCGATATTGCTGGAATATTACTAAAAGCGGCTAAAACCATATTCACTCACTCACTCACTCACTCACAGATCTGAAAGAGCTTCTATTCTTGCACCTGATCCAAAAAGACTCACCTTGGCAACGGGAGCCGTTACCCAAAAATAGCGCTCAGTGTTACAGTTGCCTGTGCACGTTCGTTGTACAAAATCATGTTTACAAAACACATCCAGCCCTGCTAAAAATAGTCAGTCGTAAAAAATAGTCTTTATTTTTTTCGATTAAATTCTTTGCATATTTTACATGTCTTTGAATATAAAATGCAAGTACGTAATTTATCTAAAAACATCCTTTATGGTACCTTCTAAGTCGGGAGAGGCTTGCGCAATGTATGTGAACCAAGCATATATTTGTCGACGCCTACGACCTGACATTCACAAAATGTAATATTAATGTTAGGTAATGTACAGGAACGCGTCCGAGCAACGACGTTGTGAGCTACACCGTGACGAATATAAATCTACATCCAACATACTGTCCGCGCTTAGCACAGCCTATTTCGAAGCTATTGTATAATCTGTGATAAGCGTTGCGATGTACTATAAACATGACTATCCGATCTACTTCTCTCACCGACTTTTGTTGAAAAGTCGGTCACATTTCGAGGTGTACACACGGCGCAAACTATACCTTCTAAATGCAGACGTGGCAAGCTGGACTCGGTCAATAGCAAGGTATTTTGTGGTGTAGTTCGTGCGAGCAATGTAAGTACAAGTTTCTGTTTGCCTTTCTAAATTGATGACGTTTGAAAATATATACTTTTCTCAAAGAGACAGTGATCACTCATATGTTCAGGGCACTACCACTACCAAGTGGTGTCTACATGTCAGGTGTAGAGTGAACGACTAGTGGGTGCGAACGATTCGAGTGATATCACGGCGGGCTGCAAATAATCGAGTCTGGACCAGGGAAACCAGTGGTTGATATCATGAGCAACTACACGTCGGGTTACGATGACATACAATCAGCCAGATCACAAAATCATCGCATTTTAGTTGACCCTCACGGAATAATAATAATAATAATAATAATAATAATAATAATGACGGAAGTAATAATATAGTCAAATAATAACAATAATTAAAAACTGAACAGCTAAAAAGTTCCATTAATGAGGATGTAAAGTACAAGACTTTGCTGATTGCCCTGATTGTTGGCAAATGATATATAGTAGAGAGCAAAACTGCTGAGTCAGGCGATTGGGCTGTACCAGCCTTGACATACATGTATGCTTCTTTGATGTGTTGTTTGACTGTCCAATTGTCCAGCGAAGTCACCGCGACAAGGTGTCTTCTTATCGCCTAGTATTCATATCTGATCTTATTGCGATAATGTTTCTTCTGACATCCGTTATTTGTGGGACACTTGACCATGGACGGATGATAAATACCGGCTGTTGATTTAGGGCTTCGTAATTGCTTCTGAAAACGTATGATAGGAAATTGATGCCGTGCGATAGATATAGTTTCATATTCACGAGGCGTTCACATTCAGAGTGTTCCGATTGGATTCCTTGGCGGAATATGTTTTCTTTTGGCTAAGAGTATAGTACATACAAGCTGCCCGGAGAAAGCTATAATGTTGCTATATGATGCGTAAAACAACATTCATTCGCTCACTACTTTAGACTGCTGGATTCCTTGGCGGAATATGTTTTCTTTTGGCTAAGAGTATAGTACATACAAGCTGCCCGGAGAAAGCTGTAATGTTGCTATCTGATGCGTAAAACAACATTCATTCGCTCACTACTTTAGACTGCTGGATTCCTTGGCGGAATATGTTTTCTCTTGGCTAGAGTATAGTACATACAAGCTGCCCTGAAAAAGCTGTAATGTTGCTATATGCTCTGTAAAACTGCATAAATTCACACACTAATTTAGACTGCTGTGCACAGCGTCAAGGCATGGATTTTCAGGTGAAAAATTGACTTGCTTTTGCAGGTATTTGTGACGGGTTCCAACGGTTGGGCAGGATACGCTCACCTTTTTGCGAACACCTGATATCATCATATTTGACAGTGATTCAGAAACACATGATATAGTCGGAATCTTAAAATCGACTCTTTTAGCAGAGATACCTTATGACTATGGAAAGGGTTGGTCACTTATATTTACCGTTTTCGCGAACAACTGCTGTCATCACTGATTTCCAGTGATCCATTCACCGCAGTTTTGCCTTTTTCTTATGAATATGGGAAGGATTTTGTCGCTTTTATTTAATAAACAAATAACTTCTTTGAGTGGCATTTAGAAGTTGGAATGGTAACTAAGACAAAATTGTTATGGATGAGCAACTTCTTTAATAATTACAATTTGGCGACGTTTCGGTGTAGATTATAACACCGTTATCAAGCAAATGATGTACAAACTAGGTATGAGGATGATATATATACATGATATATATATACATATATATGAGGATGATATAATCTACACCGAAACGTCGCCCAATTGTAATTATTAAAGAAGATTCTGAAGTTGCTCATCCATAACAATTTTCTCTTAATAAACAAGTTATTAAGAGGTGGATCCAGGATTTTTTTAGTGAAAGGGGTCGAATTCGGGGCCACTCCCGAATTGGCAGATGTTTTATATAGTACCTTAGACCAGAAGTAGATAAATATAGTTCTACCCCCCTATTGAGAGAGTGATAAAACAGGGTTTTATCCCCTATTCACAAGTTGTTTATATAATTCAGATGCATGGAATTGATAAACAGGGTTTTACCCCCTATTGACAAGTTGTTTATATGATACAGATGCGTGGAAGTGATAAACAGGGTTTTACCCCCTATTGACAAGTTATTTATATGATACAGATGCGTGGAAGTGATAAACAGGGTTTTACCCCCTATTGACAAGTTGTTTATATGATACAGATGCATGGAATTGATAAACAGGGTTTTACCCCCTATTGACAAGTTGTTCATATGATACAGATGCGTGGAATTGATAAACAGGGTTTCATCCCCTATTGACAAGTTGTTTATATGATACAGATGCGTGGAATTGATAAACAGGGTTTCATCCCCTATTGACAAGTTGTTTATATAATACAGATGCGTGGAAGTGATAAACAGTGTTTTACCCCCTATTGACAAGTTGTTTATATAATACAGATGCGTTGAATTAATAAACAGGGTTTTACCCCCTATTGACAAGTTGTTTATATAATACAGATGCGTTGAATTGATAAACAGGGTTTTACCCCCTATTGACAAGTTGTTTATATAATACAGATGCATGGAATTGATAAACAGGGTTTTACCCCCTATTGACAATTTGTTTATATAATACAGATGCGTGGAGTTGATAAACAGGGTTTTACCCCCTATTGACAAGTTGTTTATATAATACAGATGCGTGGAATTGATAAACAAGGTTTCACCCACTATTGACAAGTTGTTTATATGATACAGATGCGTGGAATTGATAAACAGGGTTTTACCCCCTATTGACAAGTTGTTTATATAATACAGATGCGTGAAAGTGATAAACAGGGTTTTACCCCCTATTGACAAGTTGTTTATATAATACAGATGCGTTGAATTAATAAACAGGGTTTTACCCCCTATTGACAAGTTGTTTATATAATACAGATGCGTGGAAGTGATAAACAGTGTTTTACCCCCTATTGACAAGTTGTTTATATAATACAGATGCGTTGAATTAATAAACAGGGTTTTACCCCCTATTGACAAGTTGTTTATATAATACAGATGCATGGAATTGATAAACAGGGTTTTACCCCCTATTGACAAGTTGTTTATATAATACAGATGCATGGAATTGATAAACAGGGTTTTACCCCCTATTGACAAGTTGTTTATATAATACAGATGCGTTGAATTAATAAACAGGGTTTTACCCCCTATTGACAAGTTGTTTATATAATACAGATGCATGGAATTGATAAACAGGGTTTTACCCCCTATTGACAAGTTGTTTATATGATACAGATACGTGGAAGTGATAAACAGGGTTTTACCCCCTATTGACAAGTTGTTTATATGATACAGATGCGTGGAAGTGATAAACAGGGTTTTACCCCCTATTGACAAGTTGTTTATATGATACAGATGCTTGGAATTGATAAACAGGGTTTTACCCCCTATTGACAAGTTGTTTATATAATACAGTTGCGTGGAATTGATAAACAGGGTTTTACCCCCTATTGACAAGTTGTTATATGATACAGATGCGTGGAATTGATAAACAGGGTTTTACCCCCTATTGACAAGTTATTTATATAATACAGATGCATGGAATTGATAAACAGGGTTTTACCCCCCTATTGACAAGTTGTTTATATAATACAGATGCATGGAATTGATAAACAGGGTTTTACCCCCTATTGACAAGTTGTTTATATAATACAGATGCATAAAATTGATAAACAGGGTTTTACCCCCTTATTGACAAGTTGTTTATATGATACAGATACGTGGAAGTGATAAACAGGGTTTTACCCCCTATTGACAAGTTGTTTATATAATACAATTTCGTGGAAGTGATAAACAGGGTTTTACCCCCTATTGACAAGTTGTTTATATAATACAGTTGCGTGGAATTGATAAACAGGGTTTTACCCCCTATTGACAAGTTGTTATATGATACAGATGCGTGGAATTGATAAACAGGGTTTTACCCCCTATTGACAAGTTATTTATATAATACAGATGCATGGAATTGATAAACAGGGTTTTACCCCCTATTGACAAGTTGTTTATATAATACAGATGCATGGAATTGATAAACATGGTTTTACCCCCTATTGACAAGTTGTTTATATAATACAGATGCATAAAATTGATAAACAGGGTTTTACCCCCTTATTGACAAGTTGTTTATATGATACAGATACGTGGAAGTGATAAACAGGGTTTTACCCCCTATTGACAAGTTGTTTATATAATACAATTTCGTGGAAGTGATAAACAGGGTTTTACCCCCTATTGACAAGTTGTTTATATAATACAGATGCGTGGAAGTGATAAACAGGGTTTTACCCCCTATTGACAAGTTGTTCATATAATACAGATGCGTGGAATTGATAAACAGGGTTTTACCCCCTATTGACAAGTTGTTTATTTAATACAGATGCGTTGAATTAATAAACAGGGTTTTATCTCTTTATTGATAGGTTGTTTGGAATAATACATGGGTGGTGGTATTGACAAGAGGGTTTTATAATACAGGTGCATACACCGCCTTGTTTCATATTGAAATCTATGAACAAAGATTTAGAGTGAAAAAATACTCCCATTAGCTTGATAACAAGAGGGATGACTTTACAATAGTCAGGTTTCGCTTTAAGTCGAGCATTATGCCATCAGTTCTAACTTTTGTTGTCTCCATGTCCACAATTTTTAAGAATCGGGCATACTCTTTCTACGACGATTTCAAAGAGCTTTATACGACTCTTGCTCAATTTTTTCCCGTCAGGGTTACAACATTGAGGGCCTAACTATAGCTTAAAAATGTTTTATGGTAGACATGAGGAGGACATGTCCCCGGGATTGTTGAGGTGAACTTACCTTTGCATGTGTTTGTGGCGGGTACCATCGGTGGGGCAGGACACACCCATCCTTACGCGAACACCTGGTATCATCATATAGGGATTCATAATTGAGTCAGTATGTTTTTACGCCGCTTTTAGCAATATTACAGCAATATCACGGTGGGGGACACCAGAAATGGGCTTCACACATTGTACCCATGTCTTCGGCGTGACGAACGAAAGCTTTAACCACTAGGCTACCCGACCGCCCCTAGGGATTCATAAAACAAGTTCATGAGAGAGTCAGGATCGTACAATGGACTATAGTTTCAGCAGAAAATTGTCGCTTAAATTTATAATGGAATTCATAACAGGGTATGTCCGCTATTGACAGCTTGTTGCAAAACTAAGCGGCAAAAGAAAGCATAGGTTGGCAATTTGTAATTTTCCTAAACACAGCGATAACTAGTGGAAAGTGGGTATTGGGAATATGACTGCCCAGGGACAGGTACCAAAAAACACCTCACCCGAACGCGCCACCTTTGACGGCGCTAGTGCGGTGAAAAAAATGGTGAAACAGGTTTCCCGACTATGGCATAAACTGCACGTGCATGTTAGCTGTATAAATGCGTTCGTCTGCAGGGTATAACCACACGTAATGAAAGCACACAAAAGAAATGCCACGACTTTCACAGGAGCAGAGAGAGAGAGCCATCGGTATTGCCGAAATGGGGGCAACACAGGTCCAAATTAGCCAACGTACAGTACTACGACGACTTCGTGCTGCTGGAATCCGAGCGTATCGTCCTTTCCGAGGAATGGTACTGACTGCTCAACATCGACGCCTGAGACTGCGATGGGCGAGGCACGCCTCCCGTCAACAGACAAGAATTGCAGCAGGCCCTGAGAGACGAGTGGCAACGGATTCCAGTCCACGTCGTCAGAAGACTGACGTCATCGATGAGGCGGCGTATCACACCATGCATTGAGGCAGCTGGAGGTCATACATTGAAGGCAACTGTGTCGGCAATGAACTTGAAGTGTGTCTGACAATCTTTTGGTGACATTTCAGACAACTTTTGAAAATGAAATTTCTTACCCCACCATTGTTTACCTTGAGCTTACATTACCTGTGATTGCACAATTTCATTCAAACTGTGGTTGATCTTCTTGATATTTTTTAATCGACCATGGAACTCGACCTATTCTTTCGTTTGCCGCCCAGTTTTAGCGTGGAATTCATAAACAGGGTTACGGCCCAAATTGAAAGGTTGTTTTTAATAGGACATGTGTGTGGGATTCATAAATTGAGTTATATCCCCTATAGACAGGCTGTTGTTAAAAGTACCTGTGCTTGCGAAATACATAAACATTCCCTATTGGCAGGACCGCCTCCGTGGTCCAGTGCATAGAGCGTCTGCCCGAAGAGCGGGAGGTCGGTGGCTCGATAATCAGACCATTATCAAATGACGTTAAAAGATGGTACATGTTGTTAATCTGCCTGGCATCGGCATTTAGGGAATAACCCCCGCTCTCTATATACAACATTCGAACCAGGACCTGCACACACAATACATATGCTTAGTTTTGATGATGACTGAATGATTTACGATTAAATTTAGCTTTAGTTTACTACTTTGATAAAATCCACAAACAAGGGAATAACGGACATGTCAAGACGCACACTTGGTTTCATTGTTACGAGAAGTTTCTTACAGTGTTGTTTTGGTTTCTGTTACCCTTTGCCTCATGTTTCGGTTCAAACGGTAGTGGATGCACACGTCTGGCCCAGTCTTCTAAGGCGTCGCAATTCGCTGTGCAGAGTTGCGTCCCTTGGGCACGCCAGAAACCTGTGATCGATGGTTCGAATCCCGGTTCGCCCCGATTAAGTTTCTAGGTTTGTCAGCCCCATACCCGTGCTCGACTTGCTCCACTTCGGGCTTTCCTCAAGCATTAAGCTGACCGTGATATTACTGGAATTCTGTTCAAAGCGGATTTAAACCGAACTCACTCGCTCACTGAAATGTAAGTTGTACATTTTTATCCAATTCAATCTTTTGAACTTGAATGCAATATCCTCGCCTCGAAGCATATGCTCTCTTGACGGAGAACCTCGTGGTTATTACATGATGAATTTGGTCCCCAGAAACCTATGAAGTCTTCAGAGACAACATAAGCTATCTGATTGTCCGACTCGGTGAGGTGAGGTGAAATGGGATTTAACGTCGCGTCCAAGATTATTGCACTTATATAGCGACGTGTGTGTGTGGCTGCTTGTTCTAGTCCGGACTGATGCCAGTTTATAGCGCTAGCCCAGTGAGATACCATGCCGCAGTTTAACAAATACCCCACTCAGACACAGTATACTGACTCCAAGCCGACCAGTCCTTCTTTTAGCCCCTTAATGCCGAGCGCCAGACAGGGTAACAACAAGTTCCACCTTGGTATGACGCGGTCTATAGGTATGACGCGGTCGGGGATCGAACCCCGGACCTTCCGTTCCCCGGGCGGACGCTCAACCACTAGACTCAGTGACTTTGTTTGCTTGCGCATCATCGTACCCCGACGAGGGTCTCTTCTCATAATATCAACCACCGGTTTGTCTCCAGATTCAATTATGTAAAGACCTTTATAACATGTTTTGAAAATTGCTGACTGTTGCACAATGCAACAAACAAACAAACAATCTAAATAGGGAAAGTCAACTGAGCTATGCGCGTTGTGACCTTGGACGAGAGCCATTACTCATATGACACTGTTATAAAACAAGGTCACCACAATACGCCACTGCCAAACAAGAGGAGGAGTTAGTGGGATTCAATCGCAGCGGGGAAACATATTCCGCATCCACACGTAATGATGGAATTGGAAACACAACCACTGCTGGAACACTCAAGATAAGAATACAGAGCAAGCACCTCCGGAAAAGCAGCGGCATTGATAACATTAGGTATTGTCACCTGTTTCTTTCTTTTTACTGTTATCAGATTAATATACCCTACAATAATACCTTTATTTCAACTAGCGATTTTTCTCAATTTTTCCATTCACTAAATTAGCCGGTCCAACCTTAAACTGATCGCGCATGTGATGTGTTGTTTTTTCGCGGACACCTGGCACATAAACACATGCTCATGATTCGATCTGCTCTGCTTTTAGCAAAATAAATTGTCGCATATATTTACTGTTACAGTAAAACTTAATAATTCTTGTCATGTCGCGAATCAGGGATGTGGGGAGCCACTAAAGATTGCCACGCCTGCTAACAATGTAATTTATATTACACTAAACTACGTTTATAACGAACACGCTTATAACGAACTGACGGATATAGCGAACTTACTTTTTTGTCTCGACTATTTGCTGTAGTTATGCTGTATATGTGCTTATAACGAACTACGGTTATAACGAACAAGAATTAGTGGTCGCTTTGAGTTCCTTATATCCGTTGTAAACCACCGAAGCCTGGCTGTGGCATCAGCTCATCGTTCGTTCCTGGTAGCTTTGCATTCCACAATTTAAGTATTATCCTTGATGATTGACCTTCACTCTTATTATGTTATAAATCATTAGTAAATTATTAATATATTGCACATGTAAAGGTAAACATGCACTTGCTACGTTGTATCATCACTGATTATACGCATGCAATTTCAGTGCTTCGGCCAAGTGATGGTATTCGAAATGCAAATGTCTCACTGCTGCCACCCGCATGTCATGTAATTTTGAATTTTGAAATGAAAAATTACAAAACCCTTTCCTAAATCCAAACGCAGAGTGGATTGTACGATTCCGGCTATACCATGAGCATATGTTTATGAATCACTATCGAAGAGTAGTGAGTTGGGTTTAACGCCTCTTTTAACAGTATTACAGTTATATCACAGCGTGTCAGCTTAATGTGGGAGGAAAGCCCGAAGTGATGCAGGTCTCAGACGTTTACCACCTCGGGAGAAAACCACGAGCACGGGTATGGTGCTGACAAACCTAGAAACATAATCGGGGCGAACCGGGATTCGAACCCGCAATCATAGGTTTCTGGCGCAAGGGACGCAACTCTGCACAGCGAATCGCGCCGCCTCAGACGACTGGGCCACCCGTGCCCCCCTACCGAAGAGTAATGGTACCAGGTGTTCGCTGAAAGGTGAGCGTATGCTGCCCAACCGGTGGCACCCGTCACAAACACATACAAAGGCAAGTCAGTTGTTCACCTAAAAAAAAGAATGGGAATACAATTTTCAAAAAAGAAGAAGAAACGCACAGGTAGTATTTAGTTCATTGAACCTGACTTCACAAAAAAATCCGGTATATAAATAGGATATATGTTATTGGAAAATGTTGGTGGCCTGATATTCGACAAACGGTGCGTCAAAACGCAGCCATTGTCGATTTGCAATGTCTCAAACGGCATTGTTTTCACACTTGTGCAAAAATGTCATAGAGGAAAACAGTAAAGCAAAATGCACGTGCAAGTTATGACATTCGTAATGTACAGGGTTGTAGTTCTCAAAGGATTTACATTTCACTGCCTTACAGTGACTTCATCAAGTTTATTTTGACAATGATCAGACGGTTGCAATAGATGAATGTCATTTTGAAAAAGACAGTAGCCGTTTATATTTTCATGTTCTAAAAAGATCCTTTCTTTTTCATATTCCCACTCAAATAAATCAATAATCGTTTTCTTTATTTCAGTTTTACTTCAATATACCTGTTCATTGCACAATGTCATAATATTAAACAAAGTCATTACATTTGATATCTCTGACAAAAATATGCATGCATTTTGTTGTAAACATACGTTTTCAACATTGATTATCAGTAGAAGGTATTGATTAAAGAATAACGAAGCATGTAAACATAACATTTAAACGACTCAACTCGGAATTCAATTGATGTGAAATTTGTATTTATATTATAATAACAAAACTATGTGATTATATTTTAATCAAATGAAAAAGTAAACATTTGCAATATACGTCTCACGAATAGATCTTCATACGACAACTCCAATACTCTTTATGTGTTGTTGAATGTTAGACAGGATGTCCGGATAAGGCATGGTTGTAACCATGACAACAAGAAGCTACAGATACCAGATACATTTTAACCAAATACACTTAAACCAGACATTGACGTTCCCAGTTCAATCTGGTCCGGATTGACCAATCACTGTTATGGGTTATCTGCCTTTATTATAAATAGACGTCCTCAACAATGATTGTTCGGAATAGGGGGTTTCCGGATTAACTGGGTCCGAATTAATGAGGTTTCTTGGTACAGGTATTCATGTATCACGTATTTCTTCTGGGAAAGTCTCATAATTGAAAGCACTATACGATCGACTCAATTATAACAGATAAAAAAATATATATAAATCATCGATATATAGATTTGTATTTTCTCATAATTATGTTGATATGTTGAGGATGAGGATATGTTGACATATACGACAGTGGTAGAGAATAATCAGTCTCATGTTTACGTCGAAATAGACTCTACTAGGCGTTAAAGCCAAAATGTAAATTATATGAATGGGTCACTAAATCAGTGACGACACAAGGTGTTCGCAACAGGGTTTCCGCTCTACCACTAGCACCCACCACAAAGGAATTTGCAATCAGGGTTTGGTTCTTTGATTTATTCCGCCCGTTAGCTCCTCTTCGTGATCATTTTTTAGTAAAAGGTCTGTAAAAAAATACCTACGGAAGCGTAGTAGGGCCACGGTGAAATTCTGTTTGTCTAAGTATCTCCTACGTAGGACTTAGTATGGCCTAGAATCACTAAGAGATTTTGTAGTGAGTGAGTGAGTTAGGTTTAACGCCGCTTTTAACAGTATTCCAATTATATCACGTGTCAGCCCGATAGGGATTTTATAACCCAGGTACAATGTTTTCTCCAAATTGAAATATTTGTACAATCAGCGTCATAGAGCATCATCTTGTAACCCTCTCTATTTTTCATACCTACTTAATTAAAGATGGAAGTATGATTCTTTTGCCGGTGACAACATGAGCTATATGTATTTTCAACGAAAAAGTACGTCTCTCGTCAGAAGTAATAATTGATTGTTTCAGATCATGCCAGGTTGCATAAGTTCTTACTTCTTACATTGGTGTGGAATTTCATACTTAACTAAATAAATACGACAAAACCCTTTCAATCTTCATAAGAAATCACTGCTAAAAGCGACTGAACAATTCCGATTACATCATGTACATATGTTTATAAATGACTCTCAAATAGTGAATACGTGAGAATACCCGTCAAAACACACGCAAAGGCAAGTCCACTCTTCACCCGAAAAGCACCGTAACATTTGGTACAAGTCAAAATACGGAATTGCATCGGATATATTTTTGGTCACTATTGCGTCATTTTAGGAAATGTCCTCATGTCTACTATAAAACGTTTTGAAAACTTCACTGTGGCTTAGAATATTGTAACCTTGATCAAATAACTTCTGAGCAAGAGTTGTATGGCGCTCTTTGAAATCTCGGTCGAAAGAGCATGAAAGTTGAAGACATCCCTCTTTGTCATTCGAAAGTTCCGTTACCACTACTAAATGCTTTGTGTCATTAGGCTGAGCAGCTACTTCGATATTGTTGAGTCCATGTTTCGGACCCGTGAAGATCCGGGGTAGAATAGGTCTTCAGCAACCCATGCTGCCGTAAAAGGTGACTTTGCTTGTCGTAAGAGGCGACTACGGGATCGGGTGGTCAGACTCGCTGACTTGGTTGATGCATGTCATCGATCCAAATTTCGTGGATCGATGCTCATGATATTAATCACTGGATTATCTGGTCCAGACTCGATTATTTACAGACCGTCGTCATATAGCTGGAATATTGCTGAGTGCGGCGTTAAACAACAAACCAACCAACCAGCCAACCATGTTTGTATTGCAGTAGTCAATGATGTTGGATTTATCGATTAGGTACAGTGTACACGTTTTCCACAACAAAGTTAAACCCGTGCATATCCATCGACAATACCATCACCGGGTGGAGAGTAGTGAATACAAACCCCGGACATATAGACGATGTTGCATGAACTCAGCCTGGAATTTAAAGTTTCGTCCATGATTTACATTAAATACACGACTGCATGGCTTTGTGATTAATAATAAAGCAATCCAAGATCTTGCCCAAGCTTATGCATGGAAACGGAGAATAACATGTTTAACAACTTGATAGACTACACAAAAGAAGTTAAAGAACATTCGTGTCCCCCGCCGTGACATTGCTGGAATATTGTTAAAAGCGGCGTAAAACCATACTCACTCACTAACTTAAAGAACATTCGATTAGTTCATATTACTGTTGTTAATTTGTCATGGCATGTATGCATCGTGTGTTCTTTCACTTGTTTTGAACAGTATATTTGATATACAAAAGTAATTCTCAAACAGTAAATCGATCCATGAAAATCATTGTGTATGTTCAAGGTAGAACGATGAAGTTGCGATACATATTAATGTCATAAAAGACAACAGAAGGGACATGGTGAAGATAAATTTAAGCGATGGTGTCTTGGGACCACAACATTATATATTGTGGCCAACGTATTTCTTCTTCTTAATTAAAGCTTCACGATATTAAATCGTGACAACCAGATATTCAGACATGGCGTTGAATACTAAAGTACTCATGGAAATGAAAAAAAACTGTTTTGCTGGATTTAATAATCGACACAAAGCATTACGTAGATGTAAATACGAAATAACAAAACAACTGGAAAAGTACTAGTCTGGATTTGCTAGTTTTATCTCAGTGCTCAATACAAAATGTACTTTACAGGAGGTAATTTGTAGGCACTTTCAACATTCAAAAATAAAATTAAGTCCAAATTGACATGGCAGAAACATATGCAAATTAGCCTGGAAAAAAGTAATCAAAACATCAATAAAAATAACAGCTATGTTTATGTACATAATAATAATGACATGTAAGTTGTTGTTTGAGAAGGGAATATGTTACTTTTACGTTCTGATATTTTGACGATGATTCACTATCCCACAATGCCACTCACAAATCACTAACCACTGACAAATCACATGCACGTACTTTAAGTCGTAAATTTCAGACATTTAAGAATTGACTTTCACTTTGCGCGAGCTCACTGGAGAATGAACCTTCATAGAGTCAGGGCCAAGCTGTATGAACGTCGGAGCAGTATCTTTACCTAGTAGGATGTAGGCCGAGATCTATAAACACTTGTATTAAGTACGCGTGACACTGACAGCCATACAACAATCAGCTGTATCGCGGAATAAAATAGTTCCTTTAAAAAAAGGGAGGTGAGCGAATGTATGCGCAACTTGCTCTACAGGAACATTTGTTGTAGTTTTCTTTACGTCAAATACATTCCAATAATATCATCTTTGGGTGATGTATGTTAAGAACTACACCACAATGACGGCGCTTCGTAATACATTTTACATCAAGTACAAGACGTCAAAAAGGCTTTCACGATAAACGTGACTGGTGAGGTTTCAAAGGTTGATCATTGAAAAGGTGGCCGATCATTGAAATGTCATTATAAAGATGTGTAAAAACGATCATGCAGTCTCAATGTATGCTAAGCGCTGAGTTCGATATTAAGGGTCGTTTATACACTCATAATGTCAAGTTCGCCGTCATGTGATCGACACCTCGTCCATAGGAAAAACCGTATATCGTTTAAACTTCACATTTATAAAATAGTATTTCATGGCATCTGGATATTGTTTCAATGACTTCATAATTATGCCCACGCCTCCATGTATTAAGAGGTGGCTTCTATATGTTAAGTCGTGGCCTCTAATTATTTCATGGCCTCGAAATATCGTATCATGATCACGAGATATTATAACCTTATTTAATTACTTCAACATGTCCTTTGCATGTTTCAGTAATTTCTCGACAGACGATGGTTACCCGTTTGGTGTTTGTTGTAACATATACGTTAATGGTTCTAAACATATGTTTTCCTTTTCCAGTTTGCTATGGCGAGCGGAATCACAATCACGACCATTTTGAAAGTGCTTTTTCTCTGTGAGATCTCCATGACAGATTGTGCCAAGATCTTGTACCTCCCGTTCCCTCTCTACAGTCACATTCAGACAGTCACGTGGCTCAGGGATGACCTAAAAGATTTCGGCCATGACCTGTGGATTGCATACCCGGATGTGTTAGCACCCCGAGGAATTCTCAACGATCCTAGTTTCAACTTCATCAAGTATGACAGCCTTGGGGATGTGGACCCGGACAAATACTACATCAAACCAGCTGTGGATTTTTACCTCGACCCTGATAACTTCAGAAGTATAACGACTGGCATCTTCCATCTTGTTAACCGAGCTCTCAGATACGTCGACCCCACTCATCCTCCAATCGATATGTTTAAAAGCGCAAACGTAATGAATGAGCTTGTGTTAAGAGATGCCAAGTTACTGGACACTATAAAGAGTCATAACTTCGACCTGTTGTTAGTGGACGGGACTGTTGGTATGCCATACGCAATCATTGCTTACAAACTTGATATTCCCTTCTGTTTCATTGGGCCCTTTTACGACTCCTGGAGAACAGGTGCCCCTACATACCCCTCCTTCTCTCCCATAATAGGACTCGGCGCATCCGATACTATGGGTTTCAAGGACCGTGTTGTTAGCACGTTGCAACACATTCTACTGATGGTAGCGAACCCTCTTATGGCCGAATCTATGGTGTCCCTTTACGCTTCTGAGAAACCGTATATTTCCCTGACGAACCTGGTGAGCAAGGCCGAGTTGTGGTTGGTTGAACAAGACACAGTGTTAGATTTTCCAAGATCAGCCATGCCCAATACTAAGTTTGTTGGCGGTCTGTCAGTTCACAACTCTAAGCCGTTACAAGGACGCTTCAAGACTTTCTACGAAAATGCCACCACCGGGGTTGTTGTGGTGTCGTTTGGTGGGAGTGTGAAAGCGTTACCGAAACAATTTGAGGATAAACTCGTTCGTGCCTTTACATTAACCAAATATTCTTTCGTGTGGAGATCCAATATCACCTCATCGATTGGAAAAAACCTTCTTGTATCTGACTGGATACCTCAAAATGACCTTTTGGGTCAATCAAAAACAAAGCTGTTCATTACCCATTGTGGAGCGTATAGTCAATATGAAAGTATCTATCATGGCGTGCCTATGATTGGGATGCCTGTCTATGCTGAACAACATTACAATAGTAGAAGAATGGCGTGGAAGAAGTATGGACTTGCTATGGATTTTCATAAAAATTCTGCTGAAGAACTGGCTCAAGCAATAATAACTGTGATTGACTCCCCAATATACAAGGAAAACGTTGTCAAAGCTTCGATGATATTTAGAGACAAGACTCTTACACCACGACAGGAGGCAGCGTACTGGATAGATCACGTGATCAAATATGGCGGCAGCTATTTCCGGTCAGCTGGCCTTGACCTTACATGGTATCAGTTCATGTGTGTCGACGTATTAAGCTTCATTGTTGCGATGATGATGGTGTTCCTATATTCCTCATACAAATCTGTGATTTATATAGCAAATTTCTTCTTTAAAGTATGCAAACATAAGACGAAAGTCGAATAATATTTAATCAAGTAATACTGAATTTAAACCGTCCCAGTGAACTTTGTCGCGCTGTTTGCATTTTTGTTTGAGTTTTGACATGTAGTAGTATCAAAGTGCTTTTTTTCGAACATATTTCCTATTTCGGAAAAATACATTGAACAGATTTATTACCACGTGTAAGGCGAGTTTCTCTCATTATTGATGCCATGATCTTTCATAACGTATTGCTTATTTAATTTTCTAGGCTTATTTATCAATGTTTATGTAAATATTTATATCATTTAATGTATTAGTGGCGTCCGTCAAGAATGTATCTTTGGTCGTTAGTTATTTACATCTTTCAACAATCAGCTTATGTTAATGATAGACCAGAAGGGTTTATATGAAGGCTGAAGGGGCTTCATCTGTTAAACATTTGGGATTAGAAGTCCCTCCATAAATGAAATATTCTTAAAAAAATTGGAATCAGACCTTTTTCTACCAGTGTTGTCATCAAATGAGTAGTGGCGTTGTCTGGGTCATCAAAGATATATTATCCGTTTCAAAAGAACAAAAGTATCCTTAGTATTTAGAAGAATGCTTCAAGTGAAAACATTCAAATATGTGGAATCTTCGAAGGGACGTTGTCGCGTTGTCGCCCTTACGAAAACAAGAAAATAGCAAAATCGTGGCAATGGCACAATTCGACATTCGAATCATTTGTCGCGTTGTCGCGCTTTGAATAAATTTTTTGACTTTTACAAAAGGGCAACAATGCGACATTTTTCAAGTTCAAAATAAGTCGCGTTGCTACGCTATAATTTATTTTGACACTTTGCTTGGTTTTTAAGGGCGACAACGCGACAAGGTTCATTCTAGGATTCCATACACATCATGTATCAGAATTATGTTACTCAAGCACTATCACGTTTATCACCATCAAGCACAGACTTTCCAGTGTAACTGGTGGACCAGCGTCTCGTAAATAAAAGCAATCAAACCCTTTCTAGAAAGCAGAGTCCATTTTAAGATTCCTACATCATAATCATGTGTTTATGAATCACTATCAAATAGTGTAAATGCCAGCGTATCTTGCCCCGCTGGTGTCTCCCGTCATAAACTCATGCAAAGGCAAGTAAAGTGCTCACCTGAAAACAAAACAATGATGTCACTACCCTGAATTTGTACAGGTGGCTTGGGGATCTCCTACATCTTTTCACCTGTGCTGTCGTAGACTGGGTGCGGATGTCGCCGTGGCCCTATAGTATCACACCTGGTATAATCATCAACTTGTACGGCGTCGTGTGGTACCTGGTTTTGCCTAAATGCACGTTCTGACTGTTCTTCGACTTCGTTTTTGGCATAGATTTCTTACAAATATGGAAAGGGTTTTATCGCTTTTATTCACGGGAGGGCACAGGTGGCCTTGTCTAAGGGACAGAATTCGCTTAGCAAGAATCCTATAATCTTGGGTTCGAATACCAGATTTTCTCTGATTGTGATTCTTGGTTCATTAACACCATACCCGTTATCGTCGTTGAGAAAATAGGAAATAGGTAGTGGTTGATAACTTCTCATCGTATCAACCAATCAAATAACACGAACGGGGGGCGGTCGGGTAGTCTGGTGGTTAAAGCGTTCGCTCGTCACGCCGAAGACCCGGGTTCGATTCCCGACATGGGTCAATTTGTAAAGTCCATTTCTGGTGTCACCGCCGTGATATTGCTGGAATATTTCTAAAAGCGGCGTAAAACCATACTCACTCACTCACATTACAGGAACGGCATTTTGTCTCATTGTGGTATATATTTTGCATCAAGCGAAAATGACTGTCTGGAGTTTCTACATGTTTCATAATTTATTTATAAAATAATAAAACGTTTTGAAAAGTTAAACAATATATATTTTCATCAAACAGAAGTATTTCCCAGACCAATAGTAATTTACCATGGGTAAATGGGACCAGATGGGTATTTTTTTCATGAAAGGAAGATCAGAAGAAAAAAAGATAAAATAATCGTCCCCTAAAGTCTTTGTCACGAAGATGTATCTCTGCATCAGTAATCAATCCCCATGACGTGATACGTGGACAACAAAACGGAATGTTTCACGGGGTCCACTGAACATTGAGTTCTCCACAACGACTGTCTAGTATCTGCTTTTGCTTCTGGTCCTGGATGAGTGTTATTGCCTTGCGCTGAAGTGGAAACCTTTTATCCATCCCAGTCTGTGATGATACTATCTGTATGTTACAGACGCTTATACTCAATAACCCAAGGGTCACTGAAGTACATGCAAAACAAACGCACTTACTATATTCTACAGACTAGGTGACTTGTACGGATGAGCTGGAGCCTTGACCTCTCTCGTTGAATCTCTGAACCTTGACTTCGTACAGACTGTAGAACACTGCCTGTGTCTCTACATACGTCGACGTCCCAGTCTCAGTGTTGTTAGGAAAGAGTGAGTGAATGAGTGAGTGAGTGAGTGAGTGAGTGAGTGAGTGAGTGAGCCAACTATCCCCAAATGAAGATTTGTTCTGGTGTCACATTTCGCATACAGCGCATTATGGGAAAGGGTGGTAATGGTCTGTGAAGTATTATCGTGGGTTATAAAACATGATATCATTAATTCTAAACCTTAGATATCAGAAAGAGTTTGGTCTGATTGAAGTTCATAATATCAAACTGTCAACAGGTCCATCTGGACATAGTGGGTTTCATATTGCTGTGTGTCTTGAACTGTTAATCAGTCAATTGTTGTTCCCTCGCCAATACTTGAACGAACAGACTACACTACTAGTGAGTGAGTATGGTTTTACGCCGCTTTTAGCAATATTCCAAGAATATCACGCCGGGGGACACCAGAAATGGGCTTCTTACATTGTATCCATATTGGGAATCGAACCCTGGCGTGACGAGCGAACGCTTTAACCACTAGACTCTCCGACAACCCCGAACGCCGCTAAGAACAATTCACTTATATCATCTAAAGCGCTCGGTACCTTATGTTTAGTCGGACGACGTCAATTTCCAGGTTTATCTCCTAAATAATGTGAATTTCTTACACATCTACAATCGATTAAACGCATCACCTTTTTACAAGGTTTTTATGCAACAATTTTGAAAACAAACGTTAGTTATAGTTTCTCCAATAACATTGCAAAAATCTTTCAAATTTGCTGGTGTTTTTGAGTTGGGTCAGGTTCTGTTTTCGGGTAGGACGCCAATATAGAGACAACGCGAAGTGTCAGATGTTATTCAACCTGAGATATAGGTACAATCTCGTACAATATTAGTATGTATTCCAGATAAGCAATTGACTTGCCTTTGCATGTGTTTGTTTGTGACGGATGCCAGAGGTGGGGCAGGATCCGCTCGCCTTTTCGTGAACACCTGGTAGCATCGCTGTCTCATAGCGATACATAAACACATTCTCGTCGAAATGGTAAAATCGGCTATGCTTTTAGTAGAGATGTTTTCATTTATTTCCATGCGGCGCTATTCTCTTGAGAAGGTATGAAAGGCCACGACATTCAAGGCATTACACCTACCACTGCTGCAGTCGCCAGCATGGTGTCAATCCCGCTTATGTACTATGTTGGCGGGCCATAGCCCAAATCTTATGTTGTATCGTCATGAACTAGTCTGATCTTTTGTTCTCCGACTAGTATTAGGACCCGTGGAAATCCGGGATAGAACAGGTCTTCAGCAACCCATGCCTGCCGTAAAAGGCGACTAACGGGATCGGGTGGTCAGACTCGCTGACTTGGTTGACGCATTTCATCGATCTCAATTGCGTGGATCGATGCTCATGATATTAATCACTGGATTGTCTTGTCCAGACTTGATTATTTTAAGACCGCCGTCATATGGGTGGAATATTGCTGAGTGCGGCGTTAAACAACAAACAAACGAACAAAACATAGTAGTTATGTATCCTGTATATATATATTTCAACAAAAGATCATTGATAACTTTCAAATGTTGAACCAAATTTGTGATATAAAATAATAGCGATAGTCAAATTATGGCAACTGAAATCGACCGGATTGATACATTTCCGGAGGGTTACGGAGTAATCTAACGGTATGTACATGTAGGAGTTATGTTCGCAAAGACAAGGTTACCTGATTAACGGGATCCGGACAAACATGGCCCTCTTCGATCTCAGGGTAACGATGCCGTTATGACATTGACACTGTTTTCAATTTGAACCAGTTTAGTTGCCATTTAAGAACGTTGTCTGTGTCATATTAGCAAACATGTACACATGTTATACAAATATGGTTAATGTCTTGTCTGGTATTGTTTGTCCAACTTCAACAAGACAGAAGAGAAAGTAGGTTGGCTTTTCGAGGTAATGTAAGACACACAAATAGTGGGTGTTGTCTACTGACGATTCATCAGAAATTGGCATATTGACAGATATGATCTCATGAATTATATTAAAGAACTGAATGTGCGTGGTGAAACGTCATGTCTCGCCTCTTAGGACATGAGGGGGCACGGATGGCCCAGTCGTCTAAGGCGCCGCGATTCGCTATGCAGAGTTGCGTCCCTTGGGCACGCCAGAAACCTATGATTGTGGGTTCGAATCCCGGTTCGACCCGATTATGTTTCTAGGTTTGTCAGCACCATACCAATGCTCGTGGGTTTCACCGAAGTGGTAAACGTCTGAGACCTGCATCACTTCGGGCTTTCCTCCCACATTAAGCTGACACGCCGTGATGTAACTGGAATACTGTTAAAAGCGGCGTTAAACCCAACTCGCTCACTCACTCTTAGGAGATGACATACCCACGCTCACCTTGGCTGCATTGTTGAACACAGATATGTTGCACTTGGCAGCATCGAGTTGCCATTCGTCCGGGCACTCTGCAGACGAAGTGGTTTGTTATGCGATGCTTTTAAGAATGTAGCTAGAAACAGGGTTTACAAAAAACAGAAGTAGATATTTGTTGTGGTCTCATGTTCGTGTACAGGCTAAAGTAATGCCAATAAAGCAATTAAATTGGACAAATATCATTTCTTTTAGTCATAAACAATCTCTACCAAAAGCAGAGTCAATTGTACGATTCCGACCTTATGCTGACCATGTGCCTATGAATCACATTCAAGTAGTGACGATACTAGGTGTTCGTGAAAAGGTGAGCATATCCTGCCCCACCGGCGGCAACCGTCACAAACACATGTAAAAGGAAATCAGCAGTTCACTCCCTCCAAAAACACTGAACATATAATACAAGTCAAAATAGGGAATTGCATCGGACTTCTTTTTTGTTACTGATGCGTCACATTTGATAATGTCCTCCACATGTCTGACAAGTTAGGACAAAGTCCGTCACTGAACTAACACTTCTTTCATTTATGCATGACAAGCCTTCCATTCAAACACGGTAAGGTTTACACTGTAATTACTTATATTGGTCTTCTTTCACAAACACACACACACACACACACACACACACACACACACACACGCACACACACGCACACACACACACATACACACACATGGGTACAATATGTGAAGCCCTTTTCTGGTGTCCCTAGCCGTGATATTGCTGGAATATTGCTAAAAGAGGCGTAAATGCACACTCACTCACTCAGTCACTCAGTGACTGAATTTGTGAATGCCATGTGCGTCACTAGATCTAGTCATTTTAGACATGTCTCTAAATCGTTTCATTTGGTATGTTTCTTCAATTCCAAAGTCATAAACGTCAACGACCTTCATATCTTGCCGCAACTGTTCCAAAATCTGTTCGAGGCGTTAAAGCCAACACACACACACACACACACACACACACACACACACACAGACACACACACACACACACACACAGACACAGACACAGACACACACACACACACACACACACACACACACACACACACACACACACGCACGCGCGCGCGCGCGCGACATTTGACATCTATTTCACCTTCGCCTCACCGCCTAGCGACCTTCATTGATTCACTGATAGAACGAGTTGATATTTCAAATATAACATGATATAGATATATTGTTGTATTTGTTTTATTTAACCATAAGAAAACTTGAAATATATACGTTAAATCAGAAATTGCATAGGAAAGGCATAGCATCATGACAATATTAAATTTGTTATTAATCTTGAAATCTTACGGAGACGAAAGGAACATCATAAAGTTGAATTCAAGAGATGATAATGAAGTTGTTGATGATGGTGGTGATGATGTTGATGATGACGATGATGGTTTGCTCAGAGTGTGTATTCAAACATTTCAGCTTCCAATAATGATCGTGTCCAATGCTGTTTCACCAGCAGTGTGAGTCTCCAGATGTTAGCATGGAGTCGATGGAGCCAGGAGTGCGTTCAGGACCAGTGTTGTAGCACAACACATCACTGTTGTGAGTGACGCATGTGTTGTTGTGGCAGCTGCTCTAATCTCAGAAGTGTCCGAGTCAATCCTCACCGAACCTCCTGGAAAAAAACCCAATAAATTGTTTTCACGTATCATAGCTATGAGACACCAAGGGACGTAACTCTGGCTAGAGTAGTTTTTCTGTCTTATCCAGGCTTCTGTCTAAACCGGTCTGTCTCAAACACAACTCCACCACACCATCACCCCACCCGACCCCACGACAATATAATTGCTGGCCCCTTACAATAGTGTGTGCTGACATCAGGTTATGTCTTTAAGTAAATAAAAACGATAACACCCTTTTCATATTAATAAGACATCTCTGCTAAAAGCAGAGTCCATTGTAAGATTCCAACTATATCATAAGCATGTCTTTGTGAGTCACTACCAAAGTGTTGATACCAGGTATTCGCGAAAGGTGAATATTTCCTGCCCCATCGGCGGCGCCCCTCAAAAACACATGTAAAGGCAAGTCAATTGTTTACCTAAAAATAAACCGGGAACATATGGTACAAGTTGAAATAAGGAATTGCATCGGACATGTTTGTCACAGACGTCCTCACACGGCGGTATTAAGGGATGTATACAATGAGTTATATGGTACACTGCATACAAATTTGATGCACCGGACTAGTACAAGCAGCCACACACAAACACACACACGTGCATGCACGTCGCTATATAAGTGCAATAACCTTGGACGCGACGTTAAACCCCATTTCACCTCACTTCACCTCAAAACATTACGTTAGCACCCACCGAGCGTGAAATACACATCCGGGCTCATCTTGCCATCACCACCGCGACTGTAGCCGAACACTCGTAGCCTGTACAGGTAGTTTGCAGACACCCCGTAGATCAGCACCTCCGACGTCTTTCCGGCCTTGGTGTCGCGAGCTGTTCGGATGTCTTCGGTAGCAGCCCAGTGGCGCACCTAACAGACAAATAAATATACACTGAAGCCAAAGAAAACTACACACTTAGAGTACAATGAAATATTTGCTGTACCACAATAGAAACAAAACACTCAAATAAAACGTGTTTATTACTGAACTCGGGCCTTTCCGAGACAAGCCTTCGTGTAGGTTACAGAACAATGCGAGTGGTGACGAATGACAATAGGTGTACCGATGTGACATCGTTGGACCCGGGTTGTAATATGCACAAAGTATCACACTGCTGGTCGTAATATTCGATTTCTTTGGAGAGGTAGCCAGGCTCTGAGCTTAGTTCATGGCGTGATGAAGATCATGATGAGGATGATAATTTCAGTCACAGGTTTGCCTCGTCCAGACTCGTTTATTTACAGTACGCGTACGTTAGATGACATATTAATGACCGCGCCCTCAACGACACTCACTTACTCACACAAACATGATCTCATGACAAACTAAATATATCAAAAATACCAAATCAACTGTGATTATATTTCTTATTTGCCATGTTGGAGTGTCCTATAAGAACAATTCTTTTCTTAGTCCTTGAAGGTACAAAATGCAGTGGTATTTATAATTATATGGACTGCACATAAGATCGGAGTCAGAATTGGTCTTCAGCAACCCATGCTTGTCGTAAGAGGCGACTAACGGGTCGGATGGTCAGGCTTGCTGACTTAGTAGATGCCTGTCATCGTGTCCCATTTGCGTACATTGGTGCTCATGCTCTATCACTGGATTGTCTGCTCCAGACTTGATTATTTAAAGACTGCCGTCATATAGCTGGAATATTGCTGAGTGAGGCGTTAAACAACAACAACAACAAAAATGAACATGAACTCTGTGGTCTTTCTGAGAATTTAAAAAAAAAATAATTTAAAATCCAAACGCTCATATGTAGCTTTGCCCATCAAACTTGAAGTCTTTGCAAATGTTATGGTTGTTTATTTCATCCAATATAGTGTTAGGTTCATCAAGAAAGATATGATGTGAGTCCCCATGACACTTATCACCACAAAACCATTCAAACGGTAGCATGTGGGTTCGAATCCCGGGTCGCTCCGTTTATGTTTCTAGGTTTGGCAGCACCATATCTGTACTCGTCAGTTCCACCAAAGTGGTAAACGTCTGAGACCTGCATCACGTCGGGCTTTCTTCCCACATCAAGCTGACACGCCCTGATATAACAGGATACTGTTAAAAGTGGCATTAAACCTAACTCACAGACTCAAACGGCACCAAGCTACGCCGGTCTGTCTTTGTTAGGTTTGTTGCGAGATGATTGATCTATCTGGAAAACCATTATACCATCTACAGCCCATGTCAAGTATTTGAAAGACATTTAGAAGTGATACACATAAGGCTGGCTGGCTGGTTTTTTAACGCCGCACTCAGCAATATTCCAGCTATATGACGGCGGTCTGTAAATAATCGAGTCTGGAACAGACAATCCAGTGATTATTATCATGAGCATCGATCCACGCAATTGGGATCGATGACATGAATCAACCAAGTCAGCGAGCCTGACCACCCGATCCCGTAAGTCGCCTTTTACGACAAGCATAGTCACCTTTCACGGCAAGCATGGGTTGCCGAAGAACTATTCTACCCCGGATCTTCACGGGTCGATACACATACGGAAGATAATTTATGGATGTAAACTTTCGTTTACAACGTTTCGGAGTGTATACATACTTCTTCATCAAGTGAAGGTATAAGTATATACTCCGAGACGTTGTATTCCTCATAATAAGAAAGTTTACATCCATAAATTCTCTATCTTCCAGTCCATATCGCCATAAACGTTATTAGTTTCCAGTTATCAATATATCCATATGCACACAATTTTGCGCTTGAGGATTGGCATAGCGACTGAATTGGGACAACCATTGTCTTAAGAACATTTGTTTCCAAGGGCTAGTTACCCTGTAGCCATGACATGTATATGTCTCCATAACTTAATTGCCAGAACAACGTCATTGTCTCTTTGTCTGTCCAGTGTTGTTAATTACTATATATGTGTTATCAGTACACTGTTAGTCAACAACAACAACAACTGTTAGTCAGCTTGGTATTTCGAGGGCTGGTGTAGGGACGACCTCGAGCTGGATGTGCCGCTCGTAGGAAACGTCCTGAGGTTGAGCTGGAGCTCCGCTCACCTCATGTATGCCTGAGCTGGAAGGTTCGTTCATTGCTGTGTTTGTGTTGTCAGAGCAGGTATTCCGCTCATTGTGTATTTGTTGGTTATTGTTAATATGCTGTGCATAAAACGTTCCTGGGCAGCGATGCCGATTTTGTCCTTGATTTAACCTAGAGCTAATTCCCCGTCAACATGCGCGTTGACAGTATGTACAATGTCATGCAGATTCTACCTTGTAGCCCATCAGCGGTTCCTCATACGTGGTCGTTGAAATCCCCCTCCAGGAAACACGAACACTGTCCGGACCGTGTGAGAAGACGTAGACCTCCGTCGGGTAGAGCTGTGGCGCTGAAACAACAACACTGTTGAATCGTGTACATCTTTTAGCAATAGTCCACTGAAATCAGGGAGGGGGGCATCACAGATCGGCTTGAAATATTGTACCTATCTCGGGTCACATTTCGGCGTGACGAGCGAATGCTTCAACCACGAGACTACCCCACCGCACTGAAACTCCAGCAGGCAGCTTACACCAGTAAATGTCCAAGTGATTTAAATCATAGACGCTGACAACCTTGCCGAAACCCGCCAACCTGGATACGGTGCTGACAAATCTGGAAACATATTAATCAGGCCGAACCAGGACACGAATTCACGCTTATAGCTCTCTGGGCGGAGAATTGAGTGAGTGAGTGAGTTGGGTTTAACGCCTCTTTGAACAGTATTCCAGTTATATCGCGGCGTGTCAGCTTAATGTGGGAGGAAAGCCCGAAGTGATGCAGGTCTCAGACGTTTACCACTTCGGTGAAACCCACGAGCACGGGTATGGCACTGACAAACCTAGAAACATAATTGGGGCGAACCGGGATTCGAACCCACAATCATAGATTTCTGGCGTGCCCAAGGGACGCAACTCTGCACAGCGAATCGCGCGACTGGGCCAGCGGAGAATTGAGACTTTCGCCGAAGAGTCTGCGCCCCACTCCTCTCTGCATTCGTGTTAGGGCCGACAATAATTTTATGGATGGGAGGCCGTAGCCTAATACTTACGATAGCCCCACGTGCTCTGTCTGTACACTTCACTCACTGGCCCCATGCCCCCTGTGTTGACCACCTGTACGTCAAATATGTACCAGCTGTGCGGTTCCAATCCGATGACCAATCCTGACGAAATCTGACCAATGAGGCCTAGAGTATTGGCGAACGGTTCCTCCTCCATAGTTTGGTAATTGATCTGGTTGAATCACATCAAATCATTATCAAATCCTTGATACGCAATTCGACGAATATCGGTTTGAAAATTAAAATGTCAAATTTCGTTCCTTGTGCTGATATGTTTTAACTTACAGTATTCAATATTATCTCATTCTCTACAGTGATTCGTTTAGTTTTAAGGTAAATCATAATAAAAATATAGCAAATCAACCTGTCTACTTATATCATTCTAATAAGTCGTCGATGCATATGACTGGTACGGACTACCTTTAAGGTAACAACGTGTTGTTACGTCGACAAAAATGTCAGACAGAGCACACATACAGTAAACTACGGTTATAACGAACTCAATGTGACCAGTAATTTTAGCTCGTCATAACCGTATTTCGTTATAAGCATACATATGGCATATATACAGCAAATGGTCGGGACAAATAAAATAAGTTCGTTATAGCCGTCACTTCATTATGAGTGTGTTCGTTATAAACATGTATATATACAGTGAATTTAAGAAATAAACGCACATTGTAGCCAAAAACGGTTCCTTTCATGACTTCTCGCGTATTCGGGACCATGGTCCACGTGACGTTGATGGCAGTAGCGTTGTGTTGGAAGGCATATACGTTCCCCGGCACACCTACTGGCACTGCAAGAGGAAACATAATGTTACGTCTTATTGAAATCAACCTTTGGCGAATAATGAAATATCTGTCCACTTGTATATAGTCCGGGTCCCTTGTATGTATTCAAATGAGAGAGTGAGTTGAGTTTAACGCAGCTCTGAACAGTATTCTGGTTATATCACAGCGTGTTGTCTTATTGTAGGAGTGAGTGAGTGAGTGAGTTTGGTTTAACGCCGCTTTTAACAGCATTCCAGTTATATCACGGCGTGTCAGCTTAATGTGGAAGGAAAGCCCGAAGTGATGCAGGTCTCAGACGTTTACCACTTCGGTGAAACCCACGAGCATAGATATGGTGCCGACAGTCCTAGAAACATATCGGGGTTAAAGAGGATTCGAACCCACGATGACAGGTTTCTGTCGGGTTCAAGGGGCGAAATTCT